CCACCCCAAACCATTCTGTGAGTCTGTGATTCTATGCTTATGGCAGGGGGTGGGGCTGGGGGGACTTTGAGGTCCCTTCCCCCCAAACCATCCCATGATTCTGTTACTGTGGACTGGAAGCCACAGGTGAGCCTGACAAGCTCCAAATCTGTAGCCTGGACTGTAGCCGTGAGTTTTGCAGTAGTTGAAAGCGGTGGTCAGCCCCTGTTTGCTACTACTCAGTATCTTTCACGGCTGCTTGCTGTTTAGTTTCTTGTCCACTGGTGCAGAGCAGTTAGAGCTGGTTTTGCTTCTGGCACGGGAAGGGGTGAGTTCCCTCCTGAACTCTGCTGTAATTCCCCGAAGCCGGGCTTCCTCTGGGGACAGGAAGTAACCCGCTGATTCCCATTGTCCACGTCATTTCCCAGCAGTGTCAGGAGCAGAGTTAAACTTGCTGTTCTGGTGGTTCTGGTGGTTTTGGGGGTGATGCTGAGCCAGGGGCAGTCTCCTCCAGCAGAAGAGTGCCTTGGCTGGCTGTCGGTTTCCATCTCTGCTGCACGTTCTTTTCCCTACCTGTTTCTTCCCTTTTCCAACCTGTTTTGTAATCTGAATAATACACTTGGGTGTAGGGGACATGGAAGGTGTCCCTGCCCATGGCAGGGGGGATGGAACTGGATGATCTTTAAGGTCCCTTCCAACCCAAACAGTTCTATGATTCTATGAAGTTTGAAAATTCAGGTTTGCTTTAGGACTGACCTTTCTCTTCATTTTTGTTTCCTTAAGACTTTGGAACTAGTACCAGCAGTGGAGGGCTCTTCGGAACCACAAACACCACTTCCAATCCCTTTGGGAGCACGTCTGGCTCTCTCTTTGGCCCAACTAGTTTTACCGCTGCTCCAACCGGCACGACGATTAAGTTTAACGTAAGTTCTGGTCGTTGTTCTTCATCCAGCCCGCAGGAAGCGTGACATGTGGCAGTTTGCATGAAGTACTCCGGGTCAGTGTGCTGAAAAATGAGTAGTTCACCTGCAGGTGTGAAATGATGAAGGCTGAGAGAGTTGGGGGGTTCAGCCTGGAGAAGGGAAGCTCCGGGGAGACCTCAGAGCCCCTTCCAGTGCCTGGGGGGCTACAAGGAAGCTGGGGGGGCTTTTCCCAAGGGCAGGGAGTGACAGCACAAGGGGGGTCGGGGGTAAATGGAAAGAGGGGGGTTGAGGTTGGACATCAGGAAGGAATTCTTCCCGCAGAGGCTGGGGAGCGCTGGGACAGGTTCCCAGAGAAGCTGTGGATGCCCCATCCCTGGGAGTGTCCAAGGCCAGGCTGGATGAGGCTTGGAGCACCCTGGGCTATGGAAGGTGTCCCTGCCCCTGGCAGGGGGTGGGGCTGGGGGGGCTTTGAGGTCCCTTCAACCCAAACCATCCCGTGATTCTGTGATTTGAAAACGTCCCCTTTGGCAGAACTGCCGCAGTGGAAATTGGGTGTGTAATCAACTCCGAGGAACTAGACTTGAGTTAATTCTGAATTTGTGAGAGTTCTTGAGCACTGTGGGGTAATTCCCCCCTCCAGACTTGCTAGCTTTCCATCTCTCCTAAGCGGTAAAGCAGCTCTTAAAATGGAGTCGTGTTGGGAGGGTAGAAAGTGACCTGGAAGTCAGGGTGATCCATGCGGAATGCTGTTGGTGATAGGGGTTAGAGACACCTTGGAATGGGCCAAAGTAACCTCCCTTCTCATGTCAGCATGGCTTTGGCAATGTGAACTGGAATGTGAGGATGCATTTCCTGGATGAGTTCCCTTTTGGAAAGGGTTGAACAATGCCTTGGAAGTTCTGTGGCAGTTGAAAATGGAGGGTGGCTTGGGAAAGAACCCATCGTGGGAATGGGATAACCGGGATCTGCTGGGAAGAAGCATTCCTTCCCCAGATTCTTGTTCATCCACGTCTCAGCCCTCTTGATTTCTGGACTGGGCCGATGTGACACTGAGGCTGTTATTTCGGCTTGAGGGTGGAACGGTGGTGGTAACTCAGGCAGCCTCAGTGCTGTTGATGTTTACTTGCATAGTGCAGTTAAAAAATTAGGGATTGTGAAGTCCAGGCGTAGCTAGAGGGTGTGTATCGCAGACCTGGGAAGCAAAAGTGAAAAAGGAATTGCACTGCGTTGATTTGAGTGTCACTGGGCTTGCTCCAGAAGGTGCCTCAGTGCACAGGTAACAGCAACACGCTGCTGAGTGTAGGTGTTGGGAGGGTGCAGGCTGTATGAGGGAACATCTATCTGGATTTTAAATCTGACACCTTTGCCTCTCCTGCAGCCACCGACGGGTACCGACACGATGGTGAAGTCCGGCGTCAGCACCAACATCAACACCAAGCACCAGTGCATTACTGCGATGAAGGAATACGAAAGCAAATCTCTGGAGGTCAGTGGCTGAGCGTTCCAGCGTGCCTGTGGGGGTTTGCTCTTGGGCAGCGTTGCTTCTGTAGAGCTGCTTTGGACTGTAGTAAGAAAATCTCTGCTCGGTAACGAGTGCCACCTTCCCTATCTGCATCGCTCATGGACGTGTCATCAGTAAAACACTCGGTGCCTTTCCGTGTGCATTGTTGTTTTCAAATGCCTAACACGGCGGTTTAAGAACTGAAATTCCATCTCGCCGTATACCAGGAGGGTGAGGGATCCTGCTGGGAGCAGCCTGCGCTGCTGAGATAACGGCAGTCTCAGACAAAACTCAGATGTTTAATATCAACTGCTGTTCCCAAACAGTTTAACCCTGAGGCTTTTCCACTGGGGCTGACTGGCTTGATACTTCAAAACAGGTCTGGAAAAACCCCGAGCAGTAGAATTGAAGCCCAGACATGAGCTGTGGGGGCACAGAAGCCCTGTTTGTGGTGTCCTCCTTATTAAAAACGTGGGTGTCGCAGCTTCTCCCGGTAGCTTCACCCTGGTGTTGGCTTAATGCTCTGTAAAGGTGGTGATGACTGTTCTGACCTCACCCCGTGTAAGAGAACGTGTAAAGAGACCTGGTGTTTCCTTTCCTAGGAGCTCCGTCTGGAAGACTACCAGGCGAATAGGAAAGGACCCTCCAACCCCGTAGGAGCGGGAGCAGCTGCAGGCTTGTTTGGGTCTTCTACTGCCACATCAAGCACAGCTACGGGGCTTTTTGGCTCTTCTACTACCAACACAGGCTTTTCATATGGACAGAATAAAACGGCTTTTGGAACCAGTAAGTATGGCCCCTGCCTCTTGTCGCTGACCAGATATGCAAATATTCTGTTGGTTCTGAAATTAAGAGGGATGAGGAAACGGTGGCGGGAGCTCAGAATTTGACTAGTTGTACTGTCAGTGTTAATAATCAGGGTCTTTGCCATAGAAATTTGTGTTGGCTTCAGGGATTGCAGACTCCTCGGCATCCCCCAGGACTGGCTGCAGGACAGTCTGGTACCGCCTCTGGCTGGGCAGGGTGCGTGGGCCAGAACCGGTTTGAAGTAAACCACGAGGGTGTTGCTACTGATCAGTGGGGGGTGGCATCACTTGGTTAATGCTGAAGTCTAGATTCTGCTCATGGGCCAATGTAGATTCCCTGGAAGTGGACGGTTAATTTACAGTGGTCTAATTAGACTTTTCCAGGAGCTTTTCTCCACAGGAGACCAGGGTTGGGGGGTGGATCTGTTACATAGAATCATGGAAAGATTTTTGGGGAAGGGACCTTAAAGCCCCACCAGTGCCACCCCCTGCCACGGACAGGGACACCTTCCATAGCCCAGGGTCCTCCAAGCCTCATCCAGCCTGGCCTTGGACACTCCCAGGGATGGGGCATCCCCAGCTTCTCTGGGAACCTGTCCCAGTGCTCCCACCCTCTGCGGGAAGAATTCCTTCCCCATGGCCCATCTCCATCTCCCTCTTCCCGTTTAAACCTGTCACCCCTTGTCCTGTCACTCCCTGCCCTTGGGAAAAGCCCCCCCAGCTTCCTTGTAGCCCCCCAGGCACTGGAAGGGGCTCTGAGGTCTCCCAGGAGCTTTCCTTCTCCAGGCTGAACCCCCCAACTCCCCCAGCCTGTCCCCAGGGCAGGGGGGCTCCAGCCCTCGGAGCATCTCCGGGGCCTCCTCTGGACTCGCTCCAACAGCTCCGTGTCCTTCTGCTGTTGGGGGCCCCAGGAGGGGGCCGTTGAGGGCCCCCCATACTGTGCCATCCTGGGGTCAGCTGTCCACTTTGGCATTCTTAGTGAAGAAGGGAAAGCCGGGAATGCAGCGGTGAACTGACACCAGGGCTTGTGTGGGGCAGTTGTGCAAAGCAGTTAGTGCGTGCTTTTGATCTCCGGGTAAAACAAATAGTGCTGAAAATTCCAGCACAGACTCTCCTTCCATCAGTCTCTGCAGACCTGTAGGTAGGTGTTTGTGGAACTGGCCTGTAAACAGAGATCAGAACCCTGCGGCCACGCAAACAGCGCCGAGCAAGGCTGCGCGCTCCGGGGGTAGGATGGTGGGTGTCCTCCGGCGCAGGCGCTGCTGGGCTTAGCTCTGGGCTCGCTCGCGGCCTGCGTGGCTGGAGCTGAGCTGCTGCCTGAGGAGGATGAGCGTAGGGGTGGTCGTGTTCCCCCCCAGCCCGGGAAGGGAGGGCTCACCAAAACGTGGGCACTGCCCACCAGAGAGCTCTGCTGGGCTTCGTGCAGTTTTCCCGCAGTCGACCCCAGGAAGCACCTCACTTCACTTGTGGGAAGGAGCAAAATCTCCCTGCACCAGTTTTCCCAGATATAAACAACCCTCTTCCTTTGGGGAGAGGAGGGAGAAGGCGCTTGAGATCGGGTCGAGGTTTTGGTGGTAGCAGTTGTGTGAACAGGAGCGG